GATTGAAATCAAGGAGTTATTATATTTATGTATTCTCTGGTCAGAGATTTAATTGATTTATGAAATAAACACTTATAAACTTATAATATAGGTTAAATACAAATTTTCAAACGAGTGTTAATATAAATAATTATACTTCATAAAAAATTAATCACCTTAATTAGAAATTTAAAAAATTAAAAGGATTTAATTATGTTCTATTATCTTTTGTTTTACCATTTTTGTGTCATACTAAGTTCAGAGATTTCAAAAAAATGTGTTTGTATGCATGTTCGAACAGAAAAAGAGTGCAAAAACTCTGGCTTATGCATTTGGGAGATAGATAAATGTATTATAAAACCTGGCCAATCATACAATACAGAGATGAGTAATTCGAATAAATGCAAGAGATATGCATAAGAGGATTGTAGACAATAAGAATTTTGTGGGTTTTATTTTGGTTAATGTATTGATTTTGATGACTGCATAATTTTTGATAAAGATAGTTGTTAAGAGTCTTCATATAAATGTGTTTCTGATGGCTCAAAGTGCGTTCAAATATAAGAATGCAGTGATTACAAAACAGAGAATGGATGTGCCAATATAAATAAGTATAACAAGTACTGCTTTTGGATCGGAGGGATTTAAAAACAATGTTTAGATGTCATAACTTGTGAAGGTCTACCAATATACTTAAATAATCATTAAATGTGTGAATCAGGCCTAAAGGGATGTACAATAAGTGAGAATGGTTATGGATGTATAAACTAAATGGAGTTTTGTTCATAATATGCTAATAATTTCTAATGCTTTCAAAGTAAAAAAAATAATTGCTATTGGGATTAAAAAAATGAAAAATGTGTAGAAAAAGTGTGCGAAAATCTACTGTTCACTCAGGATTACGAATGTAAAGGAATTTTAAGTGATTGTACAACTAACGGAGTGCATTGTGTAAAAAGGAGATAATGTAGTGATGCTTAGAGTATATCTGGTTGTGTAACGGATTTAGAGGGTAAAAAATGTGAATATCATTAAAATCAATGTAAAATAAAAAGTTGCAGCACTGCTCCAGATTCTCTTAGGAATTATCAATAATGCTAGGATTATGATAATCTATTAGATTGTGTTACTTCAGAAAACAAAGGATGCAAAACACGACCTGAAACATGCTATGGTTATACTGAAGAAATGGATTGCTATTCTGTAACAGAATAAGATTGTATTTGGTATTAAAATAAATGCGAACAAAGATAATGTTATCATGCACCAGATTATTTTACTCATGAGGATTGTCATTTTTATGGGAATTGCATAGGGAAATTAAATGGAGGATGTTAAATGACACCTTAATTATGTGAAGAAATATTGGATAAATAATTTTGTGAAATAAATTATAATAAAGAAAAGTGCATTTGGCTTGAAGGTAAGTGCGAATTGTTGCAATGTAAAAAATTGAAATTACCAACCTATAAAAATCATCAAATATGCTAAAACACAAGTTAATATTGCACTTTTAATGTAAACACTTTAGGTTGTACAGATTATATATGTGAAAATATTTTAGAAATAGAGTATTGCACAATTGATTCAAATGGTACTGTTTGCACATTGAATTAAGGATGTATAGAGAAGAATTGCAATACTGCTCCTCCATATTATGATTCAAATTCAAAATGTGAAGAGTGGATGCCAAAATGCACAGTTAATGTATAATAAATATAGAATTCAAAAATTTTGATTGGATGTATAGATAAGAAGAATAGTTGTGAGCTTTCTAATTAGGATCAATGTTATTCAACAATTTCAGAACTTTAGTGTAAATGGGATGAATATAATAAAAGATGCATTAATCAATAATGTACAGATGCTAGTGTTTTGTTATATTTAACAAATGAAGATTGTTAATAATTTAAAGTGCTTTATGGTCCTTGCATTATAAGATATACAGGAGCTGGATGTTAATAATGGCCAACAGATTGCACTCAGATGATGTCTATAAATCAATGTTAATTGAATTTATAAGATGGGACAAATTGTTTTTGGACTGGGACTAAATGTAAGAAATAAGAATGTTCAGATGCTCCTAAAGTGAATTACACCAATAATGTTGAATGTAATACGTGGTTAAAGACTTGTATTTTCGATCATTCACTTGGTGGATGCAAAGATCGACCTAATTCCCTTGCTTGTTCATCTTCTCCAAATGATGTCATGTATAATAATCATCAAGAGTGTTTTGCTTGGAACCCTAAATGCACCGTGATTTCCTCCTTTAAGGTTGAAGGATGTGAATCCAAGAAGGCTAATTGTCATGAATTCATTAGGCAAAGAAATTGTAAGACAAATAAAAATGGTTAATTTTGTTATTGGGATGATAAATTATAAAAATGCATGAATGAGGGTGAAGATAATAATGGAGTTGCTGATTGTGATAAGAGACTTTATGGAGATTTAACTCATCAGGATTGTGAGGACTTCCTGCCTAAATGTACAATAAAAAATATTGGCAGATCCTGCTAATCTCTTTTATAGTGTAGTTATTATAAATATTAATAATAATGTGTAATTGATGCATATTTGTAACCATGCAAATGGGATAACCAAAATTAAACCTGTAAATCTGTTGATTGTGTTGATAACAATACTGCTTAAACTGAGGCTGAATGTTTAAGGTTCAGATATAGTTTCGATTGTTAATTAAAAATTAACCCTAATGGAACATACGGTCCTGGCTGTGAGAAGAGACCTAGAAGTTGTGGAGAGGTTACAAATCCTGTCGTATGTAAATTAACTATGACATATTCCTTTGACAGATGCTATTTTATTAAATATAATTCCACATGTTCTTTATTAACATCATCATAATGTGAATTAATAGAGAGTCAAAGTAATGAGATTTGTCAATTATATAATTCTTATTGTGTCCTTTAACCAAGTGGTTAAGGATGTCATTCTATTTATGTTTGTAATAATATATCGAGTTAGGTTTGTAACAACGCCCTAATGAAGTATAATGATAGATGCATATATTAAGACAAATGTAATAATGACGTTTGTTCCTCCAGATAACTTTCTTCTTATAGTTGTAGCGGATAAAAAACATCATCTGGGATAAAATGCTCATTCATATAATTATGCTATAGTTCTGGTGCTTGCGAATACAAATGCGTCGATTAAACTAATTAAATTTATTTATACATTTCTTCTTCAGCAACCCTTGATGACAAAAGAAAGTAATGTTAAAATTACTCGTCTACGTATCGATATGATACAAGCTGCAGTTGCTGTGTAATATTGACTTCATGCAGTTTTTAAGTAGGCTCATAATATCTTTGTAATTCATCAATTACCCAGAACGGATAAAAGTGCGGATATAATCAATCGAATAATACTTGCGAGGATAGAATCTGCTCTCATTTAAATTCCACTCATAACCTTTCGTAATTAATTTGCTATAATTGGGGCTATAATTGCGTATATGATGTTACTGGTTGTAAGACTTTCTCCGGTGATTGTTCAACAATTGGTATAATTTAATAATGTTATACTCATTCATGTTACTGGTAAGATAATAAATGCGTAAATTATCTTAATTGTGATCTTAACACAACTGCAGTGACGAATCGGGAATGTTTATTAAGTAATAGCCTTTACTGCAAATTAAATTACACTCAAGGCTATGGTTGTGCCTTTCGTTATTGTAGTTATATCAAAGAAGCTGCAATATGTAATTCAGCAAAAATTGCTGATGGATAAAGATGTTATTGGATCAATAACTATTGCAATTACAAAAGATGTTCAGATCATACAATATAATCTGATTGTCAAAATAGTTATGGTTTTTTATCCCCAATTACTTCAAAATGTTATTGGTGTTCACTCAACACTATTAAATGCTCTAATAATAAATACTGCAGCCTTACTACCATAACATCACTTTCATCACATGAGGATTGCAATAATAATAATTTCTTTTCAACAATTTATATATCTATGAGCTCAAAGTGCACTCTCAAACAATAATTATGTTAAAATTACACATATAAATTGGCTTGTGTAAAAACAATAAATAATGTAGGCTGTTATTGGAATTCTAATGCTTGTATAAATTATTGTGATGCTGCAGTTCAATCAATAACTACCTGGACACATTCATCATGTCAAAGTTGGAATAGTTCTTGCATGTCATTAAATGAAGCGGGATGTCAACTGCTTGATTGTTAAAAATTGATAATAGAAGCAGACTGTGTAATTTTTTCTACAAAGTGTTTTTGGGATGGTTCGACTTGTTAAACTATTGGCGATTGTAGCAGGTACTTCGATAATTCCTTGTGCTTAGATAAAATAAATTCATAAGGCATCCCTTGCTTTTGGGATGATACTGATACTAAATGTTTAGAAAAAACATGCTCAAATAAACCCTCCTCTTCAAATGACCAAACAGAATGCAACAGTTGGTTGACTAATTGCTAATGGAATAAAAATAATAATCAATGCGTAGAAGATTGCGCATAAGCTGATATTTCAAATAACACTCATACGCAATGTGAATCCTATTATTCAAATAAAAGTTGCACTGTTAAAGTAGACATCATTTAATGTGTGGACCTTCCCTTTTCTTGTTCTTTAGCAAAGGAAACTTAGTGTTATAAAGATTAATTTGGAAATGAATGCTACTATTAGGATTCATTAAAAAAGTGTGTTAATTTATTATGTTCAAACTTGGAATCATCATTTAACACCCATGAAAAATGTAACTCAAGATTAAAAGCTTGCACAGTAAATGAAGATTTTAATGGATGCCAATAATTGAATAATTGTGGTAGCTATTCAAATCCTGAACAATGTAAAATTGATTCAAACAATGTAGAATGCGAATGGATAATAAATTCAAATACATGTACAATTAAGTAATGTTCAACTGCATAATTGAAAGACTATTCAGCGCATAGTTGTCATTAGTATTTTGGTGATTCTTGTACAATAAACGATGCCTTAAATGGATGTGAGATTGGCCAAAGCCAGTGCTCAAGTTACACATATAATTAATGTAATAGTGAAGGACAGATGAACTTAAGTGCAGTTAGTTGTTTCTGGGATGAGGAGAAGAGCATTTGTATGGAGAGGATTTGTAGAAACGGACCTTCACTTGCCTAATCTCATGCAGATTGCATAGGGTTCCTTTCTACTTGTTAAAAAAGTAGTTGTCGCAGAAAAGAGTGCTTTGATTATAATTATGCAATTGACTCAGCTTGTGCTTCAATATTTGAAGATAAAAGATGTGCAACCAATGGATATCAATGTATTTTAAGAGGGACTTGTGAAGATATTACTGCTAGTGATGGTTGTACTTTTGATATTAATCTCAATCCTTGTGTATGGATAAATCAAAAATGTTATACCAAAAGTTGTGACACTGCATCAATCTCTATAACTGAATATTTGGAATGCAATGCATATTTTCCAGGTTGCACAGCCAAACAAGGAGGAGGATGCACTAAAAAACAAAAGTGTAAAAATTACTAAATTAAAGAGGCTTGCTATACAGATAGTGAAAATTAAGAATGTATATGGGATGATTACCTCAATTAATGTTTTTCTAATTAATGCATTGATTCCTGTGGAGATGGCATTATTTCGAGTAAAGAAGAAGAATGCGATGATGGAAATTATTTACCTTATGATGGTTGTTACAAATGTCAAATTCAATGCCCATTAGGTTGTAATAGTTGTAATGGTTGGATATGTGAAGAGTGCCAAAAGAAAGGGTGGCTATTGATTAATGGTATTTGTACTTCAATATGTGGTGATGGCTACATTACAGGTTAGGAGTAGTGTGACGATGGAAATTAAATTGAATTTGATGGATGCTTTGATTGTACTTACTCTTGTCACCAGAAGTGCCTTAATTGCTTCTAAGGCCTATGTGTACTCTGCGAAGATGGATACTTAGAAGATGGATCATAATGTTTTAATATTTGCGGAGATGGTTTACTAATAAAAAAATTAGAATAATGTGACGATGGAAATATTTAGAATAATGATGGATGCAGTAATACTTGCGAAGTAGAGGATAATTGGAAGTGCTAATAAGAAAATAATATTAGCGTGTGTAAATATAATATTCAACCTGCGATTATCCTGACTAAAATCTCAAAGTCAAACACAGATAATCAAGAATTCCGTTTATCCTTTTCTGAACAAGTCCGTTTGAATGTAAATTAGATTAATGAAGAATAATTTCTTCAAATGATTGTTGTTACTATTGAAAATACTGACGATTCTGAATATGATGTTGAAATCAAACCCATTGTTTCTATCTCCCCAATTTTGGCTGATGTGAGTTATAAAATAATAGTCTATTTTAATAGTAATCTTTCAAATCCTTTAATCAAAGTTACAATCAGATGTGAGAATATCGTAAATATTTAAGACAATACTTTATTCTCTAACGAAGCAAATTTACTGTTAAAATCTCCTAATAAAATGTCATAGGATCGCTAATCCATTATTTCTAAAACAGCCCTTCTTAGTAAGATCGTTATGTATATCATCTTGATTGTCAGTGGAATAGCTTTTTGTTGTGGCAATTTAGAAATTTTATGGAATCTCCTTGATATGCTATAATAATTATCCTATATGAAATTTCATAACCTTTAATTCCCAGAAAATCTTCAAATCTATTTTGAAATTTTTACAATTGGGGATTTTACTCCAATAGTTAATTTTTTCTAAATAGATACATATTTAGAGGAATTGTTTGATTTCCAAATTCCAACCATACCAGCTAAGTGGAAATTTGAATCCTATAAACTCAATTGTTACTTTTTGAAAAATTTGCAAACATTTGTAGTTATTTTGATCATCGGATTTGCTTATTATATCTTCTCATATTTCTTTTATAAATTTCTGATCATTATCAAATATTACAATTGGCCAGCTATTTTTTACAATCATTATGATAAATTCTTTAGAATTTCCAGATCTATTTTTTCTTTATAGAAGTTAGCAAGAAGATAATATTAATATTTCATTTACTCTGGATTAATTAGAATTTTTACTTCTAATTTTTACGAATTAACCTTTGCATCTATTTTATAAATTGCCAATTACAACACAGATGATAATTTAAATGCAACTATTTCATTATTAGCCCTGATTGTATTACAAATTAATTTATTCCTAATCATACTATTTTTTTCTTATCTAAGCAAAAAAGATGAAGTGCCCAAGGTGTTAAAAGTCTTAGTAGAAGGAATTAATAATAATTTTAAATAAGTTTCTAAATAGTATTTTACTATATTATTGATTAAAAAAACCCTATTTATTGTGAATTTAGTTTTATTATAAGACCTTTAGGGTGCTTAGTGTCTAATTACAGGTTGTTTGTCAGGAACTTTTGCTTTATATATTTAGATTTATAAACCTTTTAAAAATAATTATGAGAATAAGAAAATATTAAACACAGAACTTTTGATCATGCTTAATGTTTAACTCTTTTCCGTTTACGACATTATCAAATTTAATTAAGACAAAAGCTTAGCTGAAATTTTAGGTTGGATTAATATAGGGGGTTTTACATTAATTCTTATTGTCACTTTAGCCATTGATATTTACTAACAATTATAAAAATACATATGTTACTGGTAATAAAAATAGTTAGGAACTAAGAAGAACAAAACAAGAAAAGGAATTACTAATAATATTTTTAAATTCTGATTATCAATAATATTAATTGCTAGTTATTATATTTCATATTTTATGGGTCTCATTTTTTAATCAATAGAAAATGTATTTTCTAAGTATCTTAATAGCATTTTGTTAATGTTATAATCAATGATTTTTGTCTTAATCAAATTGAAATATGTATTTGATGAATTGATTTTTTTTGATATAAATAAAAATAGATCTCAAAATTAAGGTGTGAAAACATATAAAATTTCAAATTTAACTAAAATATTAAAAAGAAGGTTAGTAGTTTTAAAAGGGCCAGAATAGAGTTTTTATATTACTTTGTGGTAGCAGCTACTTTTTTAAACAAAAGAAATTCAGTTTTTAATTCCATCGATCTTTATTATTAAGTTGCTTTCCTGGTTATTTATCAACTTTTATATTTTTATGTCAAATTCTACACCCATTATTTATAATAACTTTTGAATTTCTTTCTAATGTCTAGTCATTNGCTATAATAATTATCCTATATGAAATTTCATAACCTTTAATTCCCAGAAAATCTTCAAATCTATTTTGAAATTTTTACAATTGGGGATTTTACTCCAATAGTTAATTTTTTCTAAATAGATACATATTTAGAGGAATTGTTTGATTTCCAAATTCCAACCATACCAGCTAAGTGGAAATTTGAATCCTATAAACTCAATTGTTACTTTTTGAAAAATTTGCAAACATTTGTAGTTATTTTGATCATCGGATTTGCTTATTATATCTTCTCATATTTCTTTTATAAATTTCTGATCATTATCAAATATTACAATTGGCCAGCTATTTTTTACAATCATTATGATAAATTCTTTAGAATTTCCAGATCTATTTTTTCTTTATAGAAGTTAGCAAGAAGATAATATTAATATTTCATTTACTCTGGATTAATTAGAATTTTTACTTCTAATTTTTACGAATTAACCTTTGCATCTATTTTATAAATTGCCAATTACAACACAGATGATAATTTAAATGCAACTATTTCATTATTAGCCCTGATTGTATTACAAATTAATTTATTCCTAATCATACTATTTTTTTCTTATCTAAGCAAAAAAGATGAAGTGCCCAAGGTGTTAAAAGTCTTAGTAGAAGGAATTAATAATAATTTTAAATAAGTTTCTAAATAGTATTTTACTATATTATTGATTAAAAAAACCCTATTTATTGTGAATTTAGTTTTATTATAAGACCTTTAGGGTGCTTAGTGTCTAATTACAGGTTGTTTGTCAGGAACTTTTGCTTTATATATTTAGATTTATAAACCTTTTAAAAATAATTATGAGAATAAGAAAATATTAAACACAGAACTTTTGATCATGCTTAATGTTTAACTCTTTTCCGTTTACGACATTATCAAATTTAATTAAGACAAAAGCTTAGCTGAAATTTTAGGTTGGATTAATATAGGGGGTTTTACATTAATTCTTATTGTCACTTTAGCCATTGATATTTACTAACAATTATAAAAATACATATGTTACTGGTAATAAAAATAGTTAGGAACTAAGAAGAACAAAACAAGAAAAGGAATTACTAATAATATTTTTAAATTCTGATTATCAATAATATTAATTGCTAGTTATTATATTTCATATTTTATGGGTCTCATTTTTTAATCAATAGAAAATGTATTTTCTAAGTATCTTAATAGCATTTTGTTAATGTTATAATCAATGATTTTTGTCTTAATCAAATTGAAATATGTATTTGATGAATTGATTTTTTTTGATATAAATAAAAATAGATCTCAAAATTAAGGTGTGAAAACATATAAAATTTCAAATTTAACTAAAATATTAAAAAGAAGGTTAGTAGTTTTAAAAGGGCCAGAATAGAGTTTTTATATTACTTTGTGGTAGCAGCTACTTTTTTAAACAAAAGAAATTCAGTTTTTAATTCCATCGATCTTTATTATTAAGTTGCTTTCCTGGTTATTTATCAACTTTTATATTTTTATGTCAAATTCTACACCCATTATTTATAATAACTTTTGAATTTCTTTCTAATGTCTAGTCATTTACAATTATAAATTTATTGCTAAGAATGTATATATTTTTACCTATTAATTAATTAATTAGTTACAGAATCTTCAACTTATCTTCTTAATTTTGTCCCCATTTAAATCTTTTCTAAAAAAAGTTGCTGGAAGAAAGGGTAGATACCAAAAAATCAATTCCAAAAAAAATTATGCTTTCAGCCATTCACAGAATTAAATAGTATAAAGTTTTACTCAAAAAATAAACTTATTGAACTCAAATACCTCTCATTTAAGATTTTTTCTTTTGTTCCTCGATATAAAGAGATCTTACAATATAAATTTTT